GATACAGGGCGTGGCTTGGATAAGAACAAGTCGGTCGTCTCAGGCCAGCGAGTCAGGTGGCAGTGACCCTTTAATATGGTCCATATGTCGCTCACGCTCAGTTTGGATTAAGTCAAACTTCGTACACTGACTAGGTATGTGTGGCACTCGCCGATAGACTGTTTAGTTGAACCCGATCCCGCGTCCGGCCCTCTTGAAAAAGGGCTTAAGAGGGCGCGAAAGACGAGGATGCAGTAAATAATGGGCAAATCGACTAGCAGTAGACGTGAATTCACATTTAAGTTATTGGCTTCGTGCCCGCAAATGGCCGAATAGAATGACATTAGGAGATTTAAGCACAAACAGGAGAGTGAATATTTGGCACACATTTCAGAAAGACAGCATTTTTATCTGTTTATAAGGCTAGAGAATCAAAATGCCAGTGGTTGGATTGAAATACTATATTATGAGAACAAATCTCTAAACACTAGCGTAGTAAAAACTAAGAAGTTGTTTGATCATATTTGCCAAAGGCGTACGTCCCTATAAAGCAAGTGAAGGTAAGATACGGTATTATGAGGTTTTTCAAAATATCAAAACCATAAAGGGTATTCATAAGCATATGAACGGGCAAACGCGACCTAATTTAGACCATAGGAGGTCCTCATTGATATTCCCAATGATTTTTTTGGGAGCCGACAGGTATTAATTTTTACTACATCGTTAAAATCCCGTTATGTCAAAGAATATTACTCTTTGCTTAAGAAGCTTGTAACAGACCTCTCAAAAACGTACCCGATGTATAGTTACAATGCCGAATAAGCTCCATACTTCGCTATTATTTGTGTTTTTTCAGTTATTTTGAGCTGCACGACCCCTTTATCCTTCCAAGCGCATTGCCTCTTAAATGACGATTGTAAAATCCACGTCGGAGAAAGTTAAGCTGAGTTTAATGCCCAAGTATAGAATTTAAATCTCGTCACCACTATTTATAGCTATGGGGAAATGAGACAAAATGCAGGCCAATAAAGCCTATGGATCGTATAAATTTTCATCTAAGCATGCGTCAAGTGGCCGTTATTAAAATAATTGAATTCACTTTGAATTACTTGAAGAGTAAGTTGAATAGAACACTAACTAAGGGGGCTGTTTTTTGCAGTTTTCGTAGATACTGTACTAAAAACGTTCCAGAAATGAATTAAGGTTGTTCAAGAAACGTTTTAACTCCCTGGCTTGTATGATAAATAACGGTGCTTTTTGTAGAGCCGCAATTTATAGAAATTACTACTGTAAATGCAACTAATTTATCCATAAGTCTCTACACTAAAGTATTAGCAATACTCCACAACGTCTGCTGAAAATTAACTTGGAAATAGTTCCTAATTTGCGGTTATTGCATATGCCGAAGTAAAATTCTATTTGTGATTTTAAGTATGTTCTTTAAAAAAGGCTTAAAAGTTCTGCTACGATGAGATGTTACCCTGAGTTAAATAAAGTCAGTAAAAAGTCAACTAGAACCAAACATTTGTAGCTATGCACCATCGTCAGTTTCGAACTCAAAACGCACCCAGTTCATACTGGAACATGGACCGTTATTTAATTAATCTGGCACAAATACACATTAAAATATTTAGACCCACGAAATAGGTATAAGTTCGAAATGTGTACAAAGAAATAACGTAGAACACGGGTCTCAGTAATGTGAAGATTAAAAGCACTGCAGACGTTTTTTGAAACACAGCGACCTTGTAAAACTCTCCTTCTTCGCCACCACCCTCGCTATCAAAAATCTCACACTGCGACTTGGTGTGAAATTAGGCCTCATGTTCCACTTACTGCTCCTGCTAATTCAGATTTATTGCATTTTCCTGTCTTTAGACCTGGTAAAAAAGTTTAATTCACGCACCAGGTCAATAATTAGTGCTCTGTTCGAAGTTCATAATTAGGTGTCTGCAAAATTAAATTTGGGTTTAATTTACTACATTTTTCCTAGTGGATTCCGCGAAGGTTTTCCCAGGCCACCTTTTTTTGGGATTGCTAAATTCGGCTTGAAGATTGCTGTATAGAACAAGCCGTCTTTAAAATCTGACAATTTTAATTTGCGGCACAATCGAGCGTTTCGTGTAGTGGGCAGAATTGATGAATACGCGAGCATCCAGAAAAATGTTCGAAAAACGGATTAGGTCGCTCTTTATTCAAATTCGAGCCACGGCCGTATTGACTGAGCCATAATTAACATGCCTCCATTTTGGACAAATTATTGATTTGTCTTCCCCAGTCGCTTATAAAGTGAGCCATAAATTCTGTTTGACTTATTTCGTTCATACTGCTAGGCAACTCGTAAAAGTGTCTCGCAGATTTCGTTCCTGAAATAGCTCTCATATGAAGCCTTGTGTAAACAATTCTGGAAATTACAGGGCTTAGGAGAATGGCATTTGGGTTTTCTTATGCTCTATAAGAAACCTAGAATTGGAATTTCATTCACCATTGGAATTTAAACACCATTTGACTAAATATTACTGAAGGTAATGTGCGCTTGCATGTCGTAGACCATATGTTCAGCAAATATGCATATGTATATATATATTGGGCAGTCCAATAAATTTGTTTACTAGACCTTACAGCTAGCGCAAAATAAACCCACACGGTCAAAACCCAAGGTTTTGCAATCACAAGCGTATGTTTAATAATAATTAGCCACTTACTATATCTTAAAATGCCATTTATATTGCATTTTCAAAAAATTGCTGTGCAGGCGACATTTTAACATGAAAACATTTTGGATATCAGATGTGTTGCATAAATTAACACACACCACAGTTACATACCTTCAGTTTTTCGCAGATAGTTCTATTTGCCGTTGGCCAGTACTGATCTGGACAGGTCTCGCATGTTGTCAGATTTAGGATTATCTGATTTGGCTGACATTCCTCGCAGGTCCAGCAACACTGCTGTTTCTTACTGTATTGTCGCACTGATCCAAAGCTAAAGACAAGAAATAAGCACACTGAAGTTTCTGCGTAAGCGTTGTTTTGTCAAATACAAATACTGAATGGGAGT